TTTTCTTCAGTTGGCTGATTTTGTGAAATTTCCGCTTGAGAAAGCTGGAGGAATGATTGCAATGATAGATGTGTACTGTCTTTTTAATCGTGCTAGAGGAACAGGTATTTCTCAAATATCTTTTCATAGTACTTCTCCTTAGAATTTCACTTAAACTTTCTGTTGATTTTCACAGAATTAATCTCACCCGAGGATCTTTTGCAAGCCTGCGCTCTTTGGGAAAAATATGAAGTGTATGAACAACAGAACCTTCCATCTTTTTCAGGTTCTAGCACTTCTTTGTGGTTAATTATCACATAGTGTTGCATCAAGAAGCATTTCTTTCTGCAATTACCTACCTTTTTCAAGCTTGCAGTATTTATTATTCATTCCTTTTATGGCTAATCTTGTTTTGTCATTAATTTGAACAGTCCAGTAATGCTTAGAAAGTTTGATAGTGGAGTAATGGTCATTCAGAGCAAGGCCCACAGTGACCAGGAGGTTGTATTCCTCAGTTATATTTGTTATTTCTATTTGGCTTATGCTCCATTTTTTTTTTTTTTGGTTCTTAGAAAAAAGTTTTCAAATTCAAATTGTTCCAGTGAATATACACATCTCAGCAACTGGAACTGTTTTTGTTGCTGCCATTATCTTAGCTGATAATTTTCAGTATAATTGTAGGACATCATGAGCAATAACGCTTTAGGAAATGAGAATTTAGTTGGTTGGAGGCAACATTTGTTCTGGCTATAGAACTTGAATCTTAATTTCTGATTTCGTACATGTATTTTTATCTGGCATGAATGTACTATTTTCTTATTTTTTGTCGTCAATCATGCTCTTCTTTGGCTGCATGGTAGCCATAGGATGGGCTAACAAATTTGAGTTTTTACATGTTCAGTGCAAACCTTCATAATATGTTAGTAATAACTGGAATAAGGGGTTGTTTGGTTGATTGAATTAGTGGTGTATAGTAATTATTTTGTAGGGATTTGAAAAAATTATGTGTTTGGTACGAAAATTTATAAATACAATGTAAAGTTTCACACCGTAGTTTATTTTTGCTGAATTTAGAATTCAGTCAATCATAAATACAATGTAAAGTTTCACACCGTAGTTTATTGTGGCTGAATTTAGAATTCAGTCAATCTGGCCGAATTTGAATTACATCATTCATTTAAAATGTTATAGGCAAGTCTCCGTCGGCTGCAACCTACCTCCTCTGTCGTTGTCGCCTCCGCAGTCCACAACTGTTGTTTGCAACCTCAGTTGCCACCGTCTTTAGCCGCTTTCCGTCGTCGTCGTGGCCATCTCCTTCGCCGC